ATCTTTCCAATCAAACAGGACCTTTTTCTAATCATCAGGCTTAGTTCATATGCTGCAATATCTCCATGTTTTTAAGCACCACTGAGTAATACATGTATGTTATTCACAAATCTGTTTGTAAATTCAATGTATGTGGATAAAGGAGATGTGTGTTTGGCTCCTCAGGTCTCTTCAGGTCAGATCTTTCCCTCGGGGCAGTACCTGATACCTGGAAGATTTTATCCACCTCTGTGTGAGTGTGTGTGTGCTTTGAAAGGTGCGTTTTTCTTGATGTCTTTGAGTCAACAGTAGCTTCCTGCCTTCAGGCTCAAAGTGTTGTTTAATAGGCACAGAGCACCTGTCTGTGCACAGGAACACCCTCTGTTTGACCACTGCACCCTGTTTGACTGGCACGTTTGTTTCAGCTGTTTTACGCTGGATCGGATAGCCTCTTGAAATCTGAGGAAGGCGTGGTCAGCTCATGGTTATTGTGTTTTAAGCTCACGTTTTCTAAATGGTGATATGTAAGTACAATGATGTTTAATTGGAGCAAATTACAATAAAGTTAAAAAAAAAGTCAAGGTAACATTTTTGTGGAGGTAAGCGCATATCCTTTTTATGTCTAACTGGAGTTCAGCACATGCTGTGAGGGGTATTTCTGAGAAAGGTACTGTGCAACTGCTGTTGAAAAGTAGCCATGTTGAGGAAAAGGAGTAAATAAAACATTTAAGTTTCCAACGAAGAAAAAAAAATCCTGACTTACAGTAGGAAAATTAAATATACTTTCATTGTTTCTTTTAGGCCATACTCCGCTATAATGCCAAGACTTTTATGCTAAAATCTTATTGCATACTGTAGACCCTAAAAGCTACAGTTTTCCTTTCATTTTTCCTTTTTTTTTTTAATGATTTTCTTTATTAATTATCAAATATGAAAACTGACCTTAGCTGATTTAATTAAGTTTTGCAGGGTTTCATATGTTTCTTGTGACCTCCTAGATGAGTTCTCAATGCCCTTTTGAAGTAATTTTGGTGACTCCTCTTTGGAAGGTTTACCATAACGCAGTGCTCTCTCCATTGGTGTATAATGGCTTTCACTGTGCTTAATAAATTACCTTGTAACCTTCTCCTGAACAGTTAATGACTGTCTAGTAACTGTTCCAAAACATCAGGTGTGTATGGTTTGCTTGGATGTGTTAGTCCACTTCATATTGTCAGTTGGTTCTGTTAAGATAAGGGTGATTTTTGGTTGATGTTGTGGTTGGATGAGAACAAACATTAAACTCATATGGCCTTCATGCAACATGCTGTGTGTATCCCCATACTAAACTCACTGTGAAACATGGAGGTTTAGTCTTAGACTTGGCCTTACACTTTGCGACTGCTTTTTTATGCAGGTAGAGATCTGCATCACATCTGACATAGCTTGGACTTTTTTTTTAAAGGGATAAAGTTTCAGTCTCTCCATGTGTAAAGCCTTGAGACTTGCAGCTTTAATTGCAAGAAAGGGTGCTTCTTCATCTCATTGAAGAAGGCCTAGTACATATACATACACAGCTGTGAGATAATAATTTGCAAAATACAAATTGTAAACAGGGAATCATTTTCCTTCCACTTCATAATAATGCCCCTATACTCAACTGCATAAAAAAATCCATAAAATGCATTAAAATGTGCAGATGGAATACTTGAACTTTTACAACAAATTAGTAAATGCACATTAAAATAGCTGTAAATGATAAAGAAATTGCTGATGACTTTTTAACAAATGTATTACTTATCAGGTTTTTCATAGTTCTAACAAAGCTCTAAAACTCATCTGTCTCTGCCTGTGTGATAGAAATGAAAACCGTTGATTTCAGGCATGTATCACCATGAACTGCCTGTGAACACAACCTTATAATTAGACTTAGTCAGACTTAGACAAACTTTATTGTCATTTTTTTTTACACAAAGTGTATACAAAACAAAATTTCGTTCTGTACAGATCTCATGAAATTTCGATTTCTTAAAGTCCAGCAGTGATCAAATGACTTGTGTCTCTCTATGAGCTAAAAGAAAAGGGAAAATCTAAATTGGGCAGCTTGACGAGGCAGAATTTTCAGCTAACATTATACTTTTTCTCTTGGTCTGCATATTGAAAATATGTGAATAAGTGGAGAACTTTCTAGTTGACTGGTGCAGGAAAACCAAAGCCCATCATCCTACTGTTTGCCACACACTCCTCTGCTGTCTTTTTGGCAGTCATTTCTCCAGGGAGGCCCTAGTTGTACAGTTTTGTGGTTTGCCCCCCAAAAATGGGCCACAAGAACTGTTGTATCACGCAAATGAACCCATACATAAGATAGACTTTCTGTCTCTGCACCTCACACACGGACACAGTGTCAGTATATCTCTGTGCTAAATGTAGGAAGTCCCAGTCGCCCCATCCTGCCAGCGCTGTCTGCTCTCAGCTGTTCCGGCCCGCTGCCTGTATTGTGCTGGCAGGCTCATTACCAGAAGCCCTGTGGCCCGAAACCTCCTCACTAATAGGCCCAGAGAGGGACAGAGGAGTTATCTCTGCTGTGACTCATGTATGTGAGCAGTGTGATGTTTTCTTTTTAACTCTCTTGGCATGAAGTACTGTTAATGTTTAATGCTTGAAAGCATGCATTTAACCAGTAAATAAGAACTCTAAAGTATTTCTATATCTTCATGTGATTACTTGACACTATCTTTGTAAATGTAATTGTAGGTTAATGTTTTTTTTATTATTATTATTTCATTGATGAGAAGAAACATCCCAAAAGAACTGAATGAGAATGGAATCATGAGAATAAATTAGGTTAAGAGCAGCTCATGTTTGAAATATAAAGAAATATGCTGATTGTAGAAGAAAACATTGAATTGCTTCAACCTAGAAACAGTTTCAGCTTGATCCCCATTGTCTCTAAAAAAAGTAATAATAATATTTAGGAAACTGAAACAAAGTACTATAATCATTATAATGAAAAGTCAAATGATTTATGTGAATCATGACAGATAAACTCCATCCATAAATCAATTTGTTTTTTTTTGCCTTAAATGTATAGTATTGCTATCTCTGTAAAATTTTCATTGAGGATTTTTTTTCACTACAGTAAATCAGAATGGATACATTTTTTTTATAATAAAGGTGAATAAATATGAATTTTTAAATCATTAGCAAATATATTTTAGTTTAGTAATTCTAAATCTGTAGTTCTACAGATAACATAAACTAATGTAAAATTTTAATAAAATGAAACTGTTGAAATTATTTGCATAGTTGTTTTACGCGGTTGGTTTGAAATCAATATATCTGAGTGGAAAATTGTTACGTTTTAAAGCTGGAAAGAAAATAACATGTAATAACATTTTTATTTAACTTCTTACTAAATTAAGCCTATATATCCAGTTGGAAGACTCTTACCTGCCTAACAATTGCCTCCTTGTGTAACTTTGCTTCAGCCTATAATTGCAGCTCCATGCCATCACCTCAGCCAATCATCATTCACGACTAATTTAAACTTCCAAAGCCGCTCCCCGTATCCAGGAAAATTAACACTCTCCTCTGCTCCTTCACTGCCTTCATTCCACTGGCCTCTCAACCTTCCTTTCATCCCTAGTCTGAGACTCTAGGGGATAAGACGTCTCTAATCTAGATCTATCTGCTCACACAGATCTACTAGATTCAGAACTTACTCCATCTGTCTGGGTCTCATTGCCAAAGACAAATATTTCCTAGTGTCAGTTTAACTTTCTTATTGCTGCTTTCTCTCCATGTGAGCCTCTCCAGGTTGAAATATTTAAAAAAAAATTACCCATTAGGATCCTTGTTAAAAACATAAAAAGAAAATATAAAGGTTTGTTTATGGTTTCGTACTAAAAATGTCACTAAAATAGCACTAAGTTGCTCACTGACAATTAGTGAATCAAGTTAGAGATTTAGTTTTAGCATTCATGCTATGGCTAAAGTAGTAAATGTTTGCTTCAAGCTTACATTCTTGTTGCAAGACAGAAACAACAAAGAAATGTGCTATTTAGCTTGAGGCGGAAAGATTAGAACAAAGTCCTCTCTGGCCAGGACATTTAATGTTTCAAAGTTTTTATAGCTACTGCCTAATGCAGCATAACTTCCTGTTTCTTGTTCTCTAAATGCAAAAATGTTCCGCTGATAAAGTTACTAGAATTCCCAAAGAGCTTTGTTCTCTGTGGGAGCAAGAACACTTTAATTTGACAGCTAATGCATTGGAGTTTTACTTTATTAATTTAATTTTAGTTCTTAACTGTTGCAAAAAAACCAAAGGGACAACTCCACTCATGTCACTGCTGCTGCACGTCACAGCTTAAATCACAAACCTGAATGACCGAACAAACACACAATTAAGGAAGTTACCTCAAAACTACACCTAAATTATATTCTACTAAATTAATCTGATTTTTTTTTATTATAACCACATTTTTATCTTTAAAATGTAACAGCTGACAAAGTATCGTTTTACAGTGTAGCCAATGTGACTTCAAGTGTAATTGTTAATGAGAAACTTCACTTCTCTGAAATGAGTGGTCTAACCTTTTATTTACGCTAAATAGGTGCTTAAAACCTAATGGCCTACTTCCTACAATAATAACAAATGTGCTCATACAACGGTTACCTATAAAACTTTAGATTAGTAAAAAATAAGAGGCTCTGGATCTTAAATTAGCAGTTTGTGGAGGCTCGCTGTAGCAGGAGTCCATCCTTGCACCTCCTGCGTCCTCCTGGTGGCACCAGGTGGGCTGCGGCGCCGTCGAACCGTGGACTCGTTAACATGCTACCATAATGAGGCTGCAAACAGGGATGGACAGAATGAGCGCAAATAAAACTACATGATGCAGAAAATAAAAAAAAGGAAAGAAAAGAAAAAATAAATGAGACAGATGTGGGTTTTCTGGATCGTTGACCCCGTCCTTTGAAAAGCTGCAAAGAAACAGCAACATTTTAAATTCTGATAAAAATAAAAAGGCATGTAAACTGCAGTTTGTCATGCTTTTAATTAAAATATTTCTTTAGAAATTCCATATTTACATCTGCAATAATATTAATAACAGTATAAGAAAAAATAGTCACCATTTTTACCAAACATCAGAACATCGGCATGACTACAAACTCAAATTCATTCAAAGCAAAAACAATGTATGTATTTCCAGCCTTTTTGTTGACCTCCCTTGCAGATCATCATTAATTCTCATAGTGAAATCATCTCCCCATAAGTAATTAATCATTTACACTATGTACACATTGCTGGACAGATATTTGAATTTTCTATGATGGGCACTGTGCATCATAAAAGTGGGCATTTCTGATTCAGACTGCTGTTCCATACAGGGATACAGCCAAACTGTATGAATTAATTTCTTATTACAAGTTTTAACTTTTCAAGTTTGAAAAAGAAAAAAACACATCCACAATGTAAACAAATAGAGCATAGTTAGGTTCACAGATGTTGTATATCTCTAAGCAATAAGCTTGATCTGTGGAGGTGAGTTGTACATGTGCCAGAAAAGAAAAGTCTTTGGCAAAAAACAGCTTTAAAGAGATTTCAACAGAAATGAATACACAATCAAACAGAAAACAGGCCCAGAAAGGGTGTGTAAACATGAATCAGTCACCCTGTATGTTAGCAATAGTCATGATGAATAAATACAATAAAAAGTTGTGGACCATAAAAGGATGCAAGAAAAAAAAAAATTTTCTCCAGCAAAACTTCCAGTTTCGACTTCCATGCCTTGGTCCGAGATTACATCTGCCAGCACATGTTTTTCAGTCCGCTTTCAAAATGTCTTAAATCTGCCGATGTATGGGACTAGAGGTGGTCATAGGCAGCTGCAGAGGGGGGGCCGGTACGGGAGGCCGAGCTGTAATAGTAGGGCGAGCCTGTGCGGGAAGATGGAGAGGGAAAAGTGTTTTAATGGTTGTAGAAAGTCTGCTAGAAGGACTGTCTGCTGTTTAAGTGTGAACTAGCTCGTATACTTGTATCCTTTAATTCAAGCACCTGTTGTCAGTGTAAAGCAAAAACTTTACTGAAAATTTTTCTAAGGCGTTTGTTTTATGTTCTTCTGTCTAGGATTGTTCTTTAATTTTCATCTCATTTTAGACAAAATTAGGAAACTTTACCTTAAAAGCTTAATAACGCTTGCATTGTTTTTGTTTTGATCCTGTTACCACCACAAACTTATAAAGGTAAAGAGTTTTCTCAGTTGCATTCAGGACTGGGCTTTGACTGGGTCATTTAAACACATAAATATGTTTTGATATAAACCCTTGTACTCCATTGTAGCTCTGTCTGTATGTCTTAAACAGCCCATAATAAATTAATAGATTTTTATCCAGAATGTCTGTATTAAAAGCTCTATCCAGTTTCTTTGGATAAAGCAAACCATCCTCACAGAGTGATGCCACCACTTTTATGTTTCTCTAAGGGGAAAGGTAGTTCAGGACAACAGCTTTACCCTCTTAAGGGTGTTTTGCTTATAGCCCTTAATTTACGTTTAGATTTCATCTGACAAGCACGTTGTTTATCTGTATATAGGCTATCTAATATGTGTAACATATATATATGTATATGTGGAGCTTAAGAGTAGTGGTTGTTGTTAGCAGATTCAACCACCTGAACAACACCTATGTTCAGTACCTCTAAAGCTTCAGATGTTTTATTTTTAAAGCATTTTGTAAAAAACATAATTTTTCTTCCTCTTCATAATTAGGCAGCACATTGTTTTGGTGAGTAACATAAAAATCCCATTATAGCATCTCAATATTAATAGTAACAAATGTACCAACTATAAACAGATTAAAAAAACTTTGCTTATGATAGCATCTATTTCACTGGTAATTATTGCAAATTTGGCTTCTTTCTGTGTTTTTTTAAGATTTGCTTCCATTGGATCAAATATTGAAATTGTTTGACATTCTTGATGTCATGTAGTTAGGGATATAAACTTGACATCTTGACAAAGATAAAGTTGTGTCATTAAAGTAGCTCAAATTCTTAATATTCGATGATCAGATAAATGGTTTACTAAAAGACCAAAAATAGCCTAATATGACCACAGCATTATGAACCCAACTTTATAGCAGTTGTTCATTTAAATTCAAATCATGCCCCAATGTATTTACTTCAAAAGGTCAGTAGAAGTGACACTTTTTAAATGTATGGAAAATCATGAATTTCTCTAGATTAGTGGGAAAATAGTTCCATTACCTGAAGACTTTGTCTTTCATAGAGGAGGTGACTTTTTAACTTATTAATAAAAAATGCCTAACAAGATATCTTGCAACACTTCTACTCACCCAATATACTGGAGTTTGTGAACCTCCATGCTTCGCTGTAGGAGGTGTAGGGCGAATGGCTGTAGGACTGACCTGGGTAGTCTGCACCTGCTAAAAAATAATGAAAAAAAATGTCAGGAGACACATCTTACAGATAAAATTCATGAAGTGATGTTATTAAAGGGCGAGGAAGGGACATGCTTTGCAGAATGTGTCTGCGTGCCAGCAACTGCTGGAGCTTAGCTCATAATTCACCAGCAGTTAGTGCAGCATGTAAACCATTAATCTGCAGTGCAGGTGGATGGCTGAGGGTAAAATCCCTCAGCTCAGCGGTGCATGCATACACCCAGCCTCTGGGCCCTCTTTCTACAGTGCTCGGCCCCTCACATCGTTCAGCCTCTGCCCTCTGAAACGTCCTCCTCTTTTGTTCGTCCTGCACTTCCTGCTTTAGCTTCACTAACACTAACTCTCTCTCTCTCTTTTTATAACATTCCAATATCTAATTGGTAATTATGTTGGTTGGAATGAAGCCTTGAGTCCCCCACCTCCTCCTTCTCCTCTTCCTCCTGCCTCACCCCCTCCTCCTTCACTCAGTAATTGTGTATCAACGCTTCCTCACTGTGAGCCCACCAGAAAAATAATAAATCAGACCCTCTCATTTCGCGCTTCGGAGGGCAGACTTCAAATATAAAGGCACATCACACACAGACACACACACACATGTGAACACGCACACATACATACAACAAAGACCTCCTACTCTTCATTTGGATCCAGACTTCACATCTCTTCCCACCCACCCTTGCTTGCATCTCCCTGCTGGGCCCCCTGGTTCCCATGGCGATATGTGGTCAGAAGTGTCTGGATGGGGGGTGTGAGCAGCAGGGCGGAACCCCCCAGCCTGTTCTCTGTACCCCCCAGGCCTGTGTGCACCCGCGCGCACATGTGCACAGATCACCACACTGGCAAAGGCTACTGATTAACTCAGCCTGACTCCTGTTAATCTGCAAACCTCCATCCAACGCTCCCTCATTTTCTCCTCTTCCTGAACTACTTCTAGTCCTTTCTACCTGTGTGACTCATTTGTTCCCTCTTTCTTTTATGTTAAATGCCCTCCTCAGGCTGTGTACCTTACCTGCGACCATTCCTGTGATAGCTGAGGAGGAGTAACCTGTCTGGGCCGGAGAGGGGATGTGGGGTGGGTAGCCCGGCAGGGTGGAGCTCACCATGTCCCGCCCTGAAAACGCACACAAACAAAAAAGGAAACATTTCAATTCACTTTGGAAATAACTTTTTAAAACCTCCTGCAGTGTTGTACCATTTAATGCTGGCACCACCTGGTTTACATTCGCTCCTGGTCATGATAATCATATAGTTTATTTATTTACTCATTTATCATATTTTAACTTTTTCCCCATGGTGAAATACCTAAACTACAAAATTTGAATAATTTGAAAAATATATTTTAAAAATGAATATAAATGATGCCATGCAATGAGAACAGTATAATAACTAGGTCGGGCCAGTTTAATACATTGTTATAAGTGATCATGATTAAAAGTACCCATTGGATCGATGGTGAAAATATTTTGCTGTAGATGTTTCCGTTTTCATGAAATGTTGGACATTTTAGTGTTAAACCAGTTTTATTTTCCCCCAGCTGGCTTCTGATGTTTGGTTCAGACAATAAAAATGGGCCTCTGCTTTTTCAGTTATCTGCTTTCTGTTAGTAATGCAAAATGATAGTGATAATATTTGGGACAATGATGGATGTACAAATCCTTCTATCTAAAAACAAACAAATATAAAAACAAAAACAATCTGTTCTTTTAAAGTGTTAAGAATGTAAAAAGAAATATGGAAGGAAATCTTTTTCTCCCCAATTTACAATTTTTCAAGTCTGGAAAACGATCAAATAATAGTGCATTTGTTTCCAAGAATGCAAAGGAAAACTATGACAACTATTCAGAACTTATTTAAGACCAAAAAATGATAGCTTAGGATTAGCAAAATTTGGGATAGTCTTTTAAAGATATCTCCAATCAACATCAAATTGTAATATTTTTATCAGGAAGAAAACACAGGCCGTCCCTACCATATGAAAGAATAACAAATGAAACCCCAAAGCTATTCTAAACTGGAAACTGCTGTAAAGAAGTGAAGTGAAATTTGTTATATACCAATATTGACATGGAGGAAGAACGTCTAGCATCTCCAAAAATGTGTAGATGTTCATGCAGACTGAGCAAATATTTAAAATCAGACAGACAATGAGACAAGTAGTTACTTCTTTAGACAGAAATATGATGCTAACAGCCTTGGAGCACTCTACAGCTGTCAAGCACGGTGGTGGCATAATCATGTTGTTTGGATGTTTTTTTGCCAGTGTTACTAATGTATTGCACAAAGTTATGAAATAATGAAAACAGAGCTGGGTAGTAACTAGTTACAGTTACTTAATTATTTGAATTATTTTGGAAATATAATACTTTTAGGAGTAATTTTGGTTTCCAACACATCCAACTATTCTTTAAGTGTCTTGCTACTCTTTCCACTTTGAGTAACTTGAGCTATTTAGAGAACAGATAGAGGATGGATTTGGAAATTTTTTTAATAATCTTTTGATAACAAATGGTATGTATTTGTATTTTCTATGTATCTTTGCCTTCAAAATAGCACAACTTGTACATAAAATCAGCCTGACTGCATTATTTCTAAACAATGAAAGAGACGTTATGATCCTACCATTGCTTAGTGCTTGAGTAGCCTTTTTACTAAACAATTTTTGGCCCGAGTAATTTTGTGGATAACTACTTTTTTCTTTAACATAAAAATTTAAATAATGCTACTGTTATTTAAGTACTCTACCAACTTCTGAAAAAGAATGAAAAAAGAATGAAAAAGAAACACCAAATTATTACTTCAAAGAATGAAGGTTTGTAAAGTTGATCAGATTTATATATTAAAAAGGTCAGTTTCAGTTTTTTAATTCGCAACAAAATTAATCTGATCATAGTGAAATGAGCACAAGTCAATTAGTCACAAATTCGAAGGGCCTTTAAGAAAAAGCCATTAAACTATCATGCATGAATAATATCATGCAAAGGGAGCTAGACTATCTTCGAAAGAAAAAAAGGCATAAATAAAATAAATAAATCTGCAGAAAGGTCAAGATTCAAACCTAGAATCTTCTTGCTCATAGAATAAATTAGGGATACCATCCAGTTTTACAAGTTTTCTCAAACATATTCTTTCAGACAATTTGGCAACATCAAGGAAAGTCTAACTCTAGATAGGAGGAAAAGGACACATAAATAAAGATTAGATTTGATAATATGCTAGCCCCTTATTAAAACTCACAGGCTTTAGAAACTGAAACACTTAATTTTTGTACTGTAGATGGAAGCTTCAAAACTATCTGGTGTGTTAACTGAACAATGACCCTAAAGGCAAAGGGAATATTCTTTCAAATGGTTAAAAAAAGTAAAATATTAAGGTTTATGAGCTGCCATTACTATATCTTTGATCTTCACTATATTTATGGCCTATGCTTTAAGTCTCTGTCTGGAAACCAATCAGCCAATCATAAGAACTCATTCTTTTCTGGAAAACTCTATTTTCCAGTTGACCAAATGACTTTTACTCAGGTATTAGTAGAGATGTTTTTTTAGTTTTTGATGTTTTGTCAGACTTAAATATTTCTAATCATCAACCAACTTTAACATAACCCATAAATACTTGGAAAAGTTCCATAGCGAAGTTTTCAAAGAACGATAAAACCTTCTTTATCTCTTTATCTTTATTTATTCTTTTCTTTTAGTACCGGTAATTAGAATTTCTACAATAATTAATCCATAGTAACAGCTTGACATAAAGAACAAAAAAATATATATATTTGACTTGGAAATTTGATGACATCACAAGGAGGCCAAAACATCTTGAATAGCAAAACATTATGACCAAATGTAAAGTAAGTCCATTTAGGTGATAAATCAATACACTGGCCACTGTCAGTCTGAAAAAGGTTAAACAATATTTTATAAAGTCTTGTCACCTAAATTAATTGCAGTGAGAACCATAATTCATAAACACAGAAAACATGAAAGAGTGGTGAACCTTTTCAAGACTCACTGACCTACCAAAGTTAATCCTACAGCACAGATACATATAAAGCACTGTAGACCTCATTTACCTCAGCTTAAATAGTAGGAACTGTGTTAAAATAGCATCTACCTGCGAGTATGAAGGCCAAACCCTCCTCTGACTAAGAGTACAAAAGTCTATTTAAAATCCAAAAAGTTATGGGAACATTTTTTTTTAAGACAAACAGAATCTGGACTTTTGGAAGCTTTGTATTCTATTATAGAATTTTAGAAAGACTATAATAAAACACTGGGTTGGTAGTGGGGATACTTCCAGTAAGCTAACTAATGCAGGAAAACAATGACCCGGGGCACATCAACAAATCCACCTTTCAAACCAAAAAATGTAAATGTTTTATAATTTGTAATCGAAAAATAGAAAAAAACAAAAGGAATGTTGTTATTTTTGGAGTGACAAACTGTTTAAAATGAGGAAGCAATACTGCAGAGATAACTGGCTCAGTTATCAGTAATGTACTAGACTGTGTGTCAGTCGCTTACACCACTCCGGCTTTCTGACTGAAGTTTACCCAGAACCAGAACCAAAAATGGAGAGGCGGCATTTATATCTCATACTCGGCTTTTCTGAAACAAACTAGCAAGGTCAAAACATATCTGTTTAGAATTACCTTAGACTGTTTTGGTCAGAAACATGATCAATTGAAGTTTATACACCGAGTCTTGTTTTACCTGCATCCATCATGCTAATGAACTTTTCTATAGTTGATTATGTACAGCACTTAAAACAAGAGATAGACTGATACATCATCCCGATTATATTTTGGGCATTTATTTTTCTTGCCCTCAAAGCCCTAAAACACACACATTTCCCCCAGAAAACCCCGTATTATGATTGTAAAAAAAAAAAAAATGAGATGGATGGGTGGATTACCTGAGATGATAGACTGACTGCTGAACTGTCCATACATTGGTGCATGATGGGAAAATGAGTTGAAAGCATTGGAATAAGGGTTGGAGCTGCTGCTGTTGTTGCCATTGCAGCTGCTGCCAACAGAAACAGGTTTCTGCAGCACCTGCAGCTCCACATACGCCAGGGTGGATGCCGCCATGTTTGGTGACGGGCTCGTACTGGTAACTTCAGGGGACATTTCCTGCTTTAGACAGAGCGGCAGGGTCTGGATTGGCTCTGTGAGAGCCGGCGTGCAGCGGGTGAGTGGGAGAAATGGAAACAAATATTGAATGTGAGAAAAATAATGCAGGGGGTAAAAAGAAATGTGCTGAAATAAGGAAAAAGGTGAAGATGAGGGGAAAATGTTAGCGTAAAAGATGTGCTTGTTTGTTCTCTCAATGTGGGTCAGAGATGTTATGTAACGTCAGGAACCTCACCAGTTACCACAGTGTAGCTTGGGTGTGCTGACAGATTCCGTCCAATGACAGAGCTGCTTGTTGAGAGGCTGGTCTTGGCCTCATCTAGGTTTCCATTGATGAGCGACAGTGGGTACAAAGTCTACAAATGACAGACAGGATTAGATATTGGCCTAAATGCAGCTTATTTAAAATGCAAAGTGAGCATGAGCAAATATCAGAGACAGGATTTCTACTGCGTGACAATTACTCTATAATGTGTATAATAATAATAAAGAACAACAAGCACACATCTTTTTAGAGTTAATCTTCAGTTCTACCTGTTCTGCTTTGTTGACCGAGGTGGAGCTGAAGGAATCTGGTGGGTAGTGGTGACGATCAAACCCACAGTCCAGATGTTGTGCAGCTGTGGAGAAGTGTTCAACTCTCATCTGTTTTCTTGGGACGCCTGCACTGCCCTGGGAGTCCACGCTGTGCCGACAGCTATCCTGGTCACCTGGATCAGAGGAGGAAGGACAAGGGGGATAAAAAAATAATTAATTTTGTTATACTATGTTCTTTGTTTTTGTTTTTTTGTAAATTAATTTGTGAACATAATGAGACTAATCTCTGTTTGTTTTTAAAAAAGCAAACACAACGTGTGGTGTTCCGCAAGGCTTTAGTTGTGAACCACTTTTCTTTAAGCTGACTTTACCTTAGATTGTGGTTTTAAAGCAAATGATACGTTTCTTAAAATGTTTGAAGATTGAAATGTAACAGAATTCTTTCAAAAGTCAAAATCTTTTTTTCCTCATAAATAACTGATTTTACATAACTTTGAGTTGAAGTGGGAGGAGAATTATAGATGATCAATAGAGAGGGTGGGGCTTGAGTAAAGGTTAAACTCTGTTTTTCTGCTATATTGGTTAAAACTTCTCAGCTCAACTATGCTGTGCTGATGAGGTTTAGAAAAAGTCATACCCTTGTAGTTGCTGAAGTATGTAACTTAATCTATCAAATGTTATATCCACATTGTGGTTATTGGTACTCTTAAAAAACAGCTGTACTGTATAAACAGTCATTTTTACTCTTTTTAAAGAGGAACCAGTTGTTTTCTGTCTCTTATTAAAATTGTTTTAAATATTAGTAACAAACTTTTTTAACAATTTGATTTCATATTGTTATTATAGAAATTTACAGCATTAACATGGTTTATTAAAGGAAGAGGATTTCAAGGTTTGTTTTGTCAAGCAGTGTAAACTAAATCAGTTATTTATTGTAGAATTTATTACAAAACATAACAATAAAGAACAGAATTAGATTTAATTTTGTTGTCCCACCTTATGAACACATATGGTTTGAACGACGGCTTATTTAACTGACACTTGATGTTGTTTATGTATGATAACCTGGTATTAAAACACACCATAATGCATATATATCTATAGGATATAGATTATTACCACCATAGTTATTTTGCTATTTAGCATTTTTATTTATTTTGTTAATACAGAACTACAAGACAGAATCTTGAATGAACACCTGCTTAACTTTTAAAATTTAAAGCAAACATGTTCTTATGCAGAATATTAAACCTACCTATAGTGATTATAATGACCCAGACCTAAAAAGCTATGATCCATTAAATAAATATCTAGGACTTGTGATTAATAATGAGCCTTTAGTTTTGTTCCTTTGGTCATACACGTGAACTCATGTCTCACTCTTATATCTCAATATTTTGATAGAGGCCTTTACTGTAAACCCAATAAATAATTGCTACTTCCTGAACAGCTAGAGCAGGTGTAAAAGAAACCCGATACCTTCTATATACCACCGTAGTGCCGAAACAGAGGAAAGGCAGAATAGGCTTAATTATATGAGTAGTAATGTAAAACAAAGATGCAAAAAAGGTAATATACAAAAGGTAAAATAATAACTGCTCACAACTTGTTCACTATGACCCTAAATAAAAAAAAAAAAACAGAAGTAGCCCTTTAAAAAAATCTCACAATAGTTAACTCTGCAAGGTGTAGTAAAAACAGAAAACAAAACGATTTAACAGATTCACTTAAGAACCAAACACGCCCTCATTAACTTTCTGCCCCGGACCTTAGAAAACATTTTGTCAACCATGTACTCTAGTAAAGGATTAGAAATATATATGGTGCTTCCATTATGTTTGATCTGAAGTTTAAGTGCACATTTTAATGTTAGACATTTCTGAGCATACATATGGAGACCTCTGGAGACAAATCCTATGTTTGCTTTTTTTAATATAGGCTCATTTTTCAGATCTTTGTTGTTTCAGGTGTAAACTGTGCTTTCCAGATTAGCCTAGTTATAATTTAATCCAATCCTTACTGTCATCATGGCTCCTCTTGCCGTCGGTGTTTGGTGGGGGGATTCCTAACAAGCCGTTAATGGAGTAGGTGGAGCCCAAAGAGTCTGACTGAGGGGACTCTGGCGGGGTGACGGCAGAGCTCGGAACTGGATATAACAGAGAGGGAAACCCACATGTTTAAGTCAGAGGGCACAAGCCATGCCGTTTTCTTAGTGATCTTAATGCCATAAAGTCATGACCTTAATCTTATGGATTAATAAGATTCTTAACCCTTATATATCAGTGTCCCTTCGTATTACAGGATTAAGCAGAGGATTTATGACCTTTATTGTTTATGTGTTTTTATAACTATTTGAGGCTTACTTAAGGTATGTCCTGGACTCAGACCATTCCCATCCAGAGGGAGATTAAAGGGCTGTTGGACTTTAGTTCGAATTATTCTGCAAACAAAAAAAGACACAATTTAACCCGTTAATGCTTGCAATACAGATATTACTGACCCGCTGCTGATATTTTATTAAGACTTGGTGAAGTGAGCGTATATGAGCGTGAAGGCTTCCTGATTAAGTTTTTCACCTGTTAATGGAGCTCACACTGGGCACCGTGTCGCTGTCACACACCCCTTCTGCCAGCAGTCGATCTCTGATTTCCCAGGCAAACATGGTGGGATTCTGTCTCTTGTACTCTGCAATCTTCTCCACAACCTTTGGGGTGGCCACCTTAGGCTTGGAGCCACCAATTACCCCTGGTTTGATGCTTCCTGTCTCATAATACCTGACAGAGATTGTTATTGGGTAAATGAAAAGATCACCTAAACATCTCTGATAGTAAGCAGGACAAAGATCATAGACAAGGGAAGTTGAGTTAGTGGTCCATGGGTACACTCACCGTCCCAGGATCTTGCTGACGCAGCCGTGGCTGACCCGGAGCTGCCGAGATATGTCGCAGGGTCGAACCCCCTGGTGTGCCATGTCCACGATGCGTTGCCGGATAACCTCCGGAAGCGGGCGACCATTAACAAACATTCCACCTAGTTGGTTAAGACCCCCATGGCCTGGGGGAGGAGGGGGGATGAACACTAATAAATGTCATGGAACTTTAGAGAACCCAAGCCACAAACAAGCTCAAACTTATTTCTGCTGATTTAATCATGAGCAACCATGACCCTGCCCTATTAAGCAAATAAATAACTTCACTGCAGCTCCTCATAATATTTTAAAACACATCCTGTGACTTGTTAAAAACTGATCATTTACATGCAAGTTTTTTCTAAAGAAGAGCCAGTGTTTTCATAACCTCCGGTCATTTTGATACACCATTCAGTTTTGAAAGATTTAGTATTAAAAAAGTACTTTTTCTTCTTCGAAAAAAATGAAAAATAAAACTCAGCTTTTATCATTATTAATTCAAAAACTGAACATCAGATTTGATCTTATTTTAAGCCGCTGAAGCATCAAGATTGTGTCAAACTTTTCTTTGAAAATGAAGAAGAAAACATGTCAGGTTTTTGGAATATTTTCTATTGAATCAACTCTAAGTAACTTCTTAATCTTATAATGTCATTAATGTCAGAGATTTAGAAATTATAGTACATATGAAACAAATAAGTGTCCTGCAGATGATAGGGAGGGGAGTTAAAAGGATTATTTTGTTATTCCTACACTACATCCAGGTTCTGTTTCACAGCGAACAGGACTTTAAATTTAGTTAGAAAGTCAACAGAAACTTTTTGACCTCTTGCCACCCGTTTAACGGTTTAATTCCACCTTAAAGATAATAATAAACTGCTGCTTTTATTGTAGATGTCATATATTCTTGGCCTTTTTTTTTTTAATTTGCCCTTATTTTTTATACATATTTTCTTTCTTCTGTGGTGTTTGCAATTTGTTAAGTTATTTATTTATTTTACGTTTCTTGCCATAGAAAAGGTTGATGCCGAAAATGTATTGTTGGATCCATTGATGCTGTTTAAACACAAACTTTACTTGTAGATTTTTAATTTAGCTAAATGGTTGACTGCTGTGATAATTCAAATATCCCTGATAATTTATTCTATTCTATTCTATTTATGATGCCTAAGAAATAATAAGTTTTCATTATATTATTATTTGCAAAAATTTAGTAAAACAAACCGTATGTATAATAAAATTAAACACAATGCAATAACTTAAAAAAAAAAACTTGAATTTATAATTCAGATTATTTATTTAATTCTTTTTTTCAACTTGACATTTATTGAAAAAGATATTTAATTTTAGGTTGTACTTTAGAAAGCAAAGAAGATTCTTTCTGATTATTTAAATATTTGATCTGCTTACTGTGGATAATCCCTGTTGGTTTAGTGCCCGTTTCTTATTTATGTGCCACTGAGTTTCAGCACTGTTAAAAAATATAAAGCTCAGATTTAGTCAAACACTTAAGCACCTTTAATAAAATTAAGCGTAGGGCATAGTGCTTCGCAGGAGTTAAAACAAAGGTACATTTCTTTGCAAAGATCAACAAAGGTTATTCAAGTAATTCAAACTGAAATAAGAATAAGTCAACTGGAATAATAGGTGTCATTATGCCGTTTGAACCGTTGAAATAAGGACAAAGAAGTCACAGAAATTTTGCTCAAAAGCTGACAGCAGTCAACGTGTTTTTAATACATAAATGCAGAATGGGGACTCTAGTTCACGGTTTTGCTCCCTCTGAACTACAACCAGCAGCAGCAGCAGTGGTGGTGCGCTCTTCATGCGCTGCGACAGAAAAGGAGAGTCCAGCTCCAGCAGTTCCTGCTCAGCGTCCAGAACAACAGCAGCGCTTTTAATTTAACCCTCTGAGTCCCCCAGCTTTCATTTCCACATCAAACGGCGGCCGGACGAAGGAGGGCAGCCTCTATTAACGCTGCCAGCCGAGTGTGGCCAAAAAAAGGATGAAAAAAAAGAAAAAAACAGGCTGCCAAGCTTCATCAACCTGCAGGATATTAAAGCAGAGCGCAGCCGGGGGGTCCAAGCGCACAGCACGCGCACAAACATGGATTCACCAACGACATGATAGATAGATAGATAGATAGATAGATAGATAGATAGATAGATAGATAGATAGATAGATAGATAGATAGATAG